AGTAGAGAAACTGATATAAAGCATATTTTAGAAGTATTTAAAGCCTAGAAGCATGGAAGAAGAGCCATGTATATCATCTGAATTTTGGGAGGCTGTAATGGAAATGGTATAGTATGGACATCTGTACCTTTGTGGGAGCGCTGCTACTGATCTGCTGCTGAGGGCACAAATGAAGAGCTGGTGGCGAGGAGGAACATGGGGTTTCTTGCATGAGGTAATAGCAGCCAGGCAGCAGCTTTGGAGGGCATCCCTTTCACCTAACTTTGGGTGACACTGTGTACCTAAGGTAGCTGAACAAATTGGTAGCCTTTACCTTCTGCAGAGCTGCCAGTGGTAATGTGGAGTGTCTGGTTCTAATTAAACTATTAATTCAGGCTGTTGGATTAGATAAGTCAGATAATATGACTACTCCCTCAAAATATATGACTTGATCATAGATATCTTTAAATATAAAGCCCATTATTAATTATGTGTGTGTTAAATGTATAAAATGAGACAGCAAGTTTGGTTGAAAATTAGTTGACTTTCCCTACCAGTGTTTACTTTAGTGTAGTAAGGCATTTTGACTCAACTGCAGTCATGATGATACAAAATTCTTATGGCAACTTTTTGAAAGGATTAAACACCAGCTAACAGAGAGGTCTCGGAATACAAGTGTGCACAGGGAAGTGTGGTCGAGTGAGGGGTTTTTCAGTGGCTTCTCCCTGGACTGGCTTCTTGGCCATGTGTTACTGACCTCCTTGTGTTGTGATCTGTGTGCTCTTGGGGAGGGGAGAGGAAGGGGAGAAGGGGTGGCGGGTCATGGTGCGTCTTTGATGTACTGCAAAGGTGGAGCGTGCAGCTTCCTCCCCCACCTTGCCAGCCTGAAAGCAAGGTACTGGGTCAAGTTTCTCAGCCTTTCTGCCGTCTTCCCTGTGATGGCACAGCTGTATCAGTATGTTTAATGAAACAATTCTCCTCTTAGTCATGTCTTCCAAAGAGTCATTTGAAAAGTGGAAATTTGTAATACTATAAAATACCACTGCTGTTTGCAGCTGTGAGCTATAGTAGATCAAGCTATCAGTTTTCTACGGCAAGTCTTTAGTCCTGCTGCCAACAACCACCTTATATATGGCTATAAATCTTCGAGGAGTGTAATAAAGGTGAACTGCATTTCACTGTAATGGGGTATGTCTTACACAAAGACAGAGAGCATTAGGAATTCCGTGTGTAATAGCCAGTGCTTCCCAATATTCATGTCAAAACAGAGGATGTAGTACTGTGGGCTGCAGAAGTCATTCAGACGTATTGCAGATTTCTATCCCTAAGTACTCGGATTTTATCATAGCAGTGCTGCCCTAGTTCAGGAGTTTGTGGTATTTGTTTTATAAACCTTATTCTGAGGTGCTCACAGCTCTTCTGTTCTGCACATCAGAAGTCATTCTGGAGAAGGAAGTTCCCTTAAGTCAGTTGATACTGCTTTATTTATTTCTTTTCCTTTTTTAACATTAGAAATACTTCAGCCAAAATGTAAGTCTGACTTTGAAAATTCTACCTCTTTTCGAAGTACTGGAATCATGGCAATTTTATGAGGCATTCAGAGACCCAAAATGCAAATAGGTACCTAATGAGATTCACAAAAGAACCTATTTCCTATTGAAGTCAATTAGAAATGTAACTTGGTTGTTTCTGTAGCTTTAGGAACTTAAATACCTTTTAAAAAATGGCTCTAATTCATTGGGACACTGTTGAAATTTTTACCTTAAAGCTTGATTTTTTTCATGTGAAAGTCAATTTCTGGTATTGAACTGAATAGATAAATGCATCAGTGTTATGTCATGGATTGTATTTCAGAACTGTTCAGCTGTTTCTGAATTTGAATGATTTAAAACTAAACATAGTTAAAATACTACCGATGTGCATGATCTTTGTCTCTCTTATTTATGTCTCTCTTTAATTTATGAATTAAACATGGAGCTGTCACTATTTGTGAGCCTAAACAACCCACAATAATATTTATTGTTTTGTAAAGTTGTGAAAATGTTTAATGAAAGTACTCACTGGCTCTGATGTTCATGGTTGGACAACAGCATACCGTTATTAAATCCCGATCCACCGTTCCTGCATCCCAGCTATTGTCATTTTACACTGTCTTTTGGTCAGATTAAGTGCTGCGGTAAGCGAGTATAATTCCTGTGTAGAACTGCAGGTTGTTATTCTTGGGCAAAATTTGGCATTTTGCCTAGCTGTGTCTCACCTACCACTCAGCCTGTGGGGCACAAAGAGGCTGACTGGGGAGAAGAGCAGAGAAAGTGTAGAAAGGAGAAGAGAAGCAGCTTGATGAGTCTTCAGCATGCTTTTTGTTGCTGCTCGTCAGCTTGCTCTTACAAAGAGACGTTACGTATTAAGAATTTGCTCCTGTCACCTAGCTTTTTAACTCAAAAGGTATTCTGTGTGTGCACATACATGTGAATACATAACTTGTCCTAGTGCTCACAGAGGTAAAAACATAGAAAGCTTGATACTTCGGTGATGGTAATTTTTTTCTTGGAATTGCACAACCTTTTTATAATTTGTGTTTAATTCAGTGTAATGATTTCAAGATCTATCCAATATGACACCAGTGCATACAAAAATAAGCCACATACAAAATTATGTCCATAATCACAAAGACATGGCCTCTTTACTAACCCACATTCTGCAGTTCCTTTCCTCTAGAAACAAGAGGCTAATGCTGTCCCACTCTCTCCTTGAAGAAGAAGTTAGGATTCTTGCTTGACCTGCTTTCCACCTTTTCTATATCTAGGTGAATGCAAGGAAAGGAGAATAAAGGCAGAATGATGTCAGGATTGAAATTCAGGGCATGGCTCTGAGTGGTAACCCTACAGCTAGCTTAACTTCAACAGCGGCTGCTGCCTGGGCGGAGGGTTTCAGGTTCCTTCAGTCAGGTGTCCTATACGACACACACGCGTGCTTCAAGCTGTAATGCAGGTGGTGGTGGGAAAGGCTGTACAGCTCACTGCAGGGGAAGGGGGAGTGGATGCGGTTCAGTGACCAGAGAGAGAAGGTCACAGTGATGAATGAGGCAGGCTGTCAGTTCAATACCCAATACAGAAACTTCTGTAGTCGTCCCTGTCTTCATCCCTAACATGGTTTCTAAAGTCTAACGGAGGAGTTTGGTTTCTCTGAACACGGTCTTTAAAAATTATGTCTGGAGCTGTGAATGTTTGCAGCAACTATCCCCTGGCAGATCTATTTCAGAAAGATCCTTATGAATTCTTTCCAACGGTTTCTCAGAACATTTAAAGCTTAAATCTATGACCTGCTGATGTCCTTCATAAAGCTGAAATTCTCTCTTCATTTCCAGAAGACATAAAATACCTACCAATTGCATCAGATTTCAAAAATTTAAGTTCTGAAGAAACTCAAGTCTCATTTGGGCCTATGAATCCTTTTGTTGCATCCTGTACTCCCCAGTACAGTAAGACTTTCCTTCAACCAAGGAAAGTATTAATAGTATCATTTCAGTGGGTCTTTGCAGAGTGTTTTTTAGTCTTAGTCATCAAAGTCATTGCAATCATTTGTTTTCGTGTTTAACCTTTGATTGCTGCCCCCCACACAGCCAGCTCTACCACCCTTTGCCTGTAGCATTTGTGTTTCAGACTGGACACATAAAACTTTAAGGCATTTCTCTCTGCTGTCCTATGGTTCAGGAAATTTTAGCTTGAATTTGTCGCATAACCTTTTGTACAACTTACATTTAAATGCAACTGTGTCTTCAGTTTCTGCCTGTTCTAGTAAGGGAATCTCCTGTTATATAAAACACGCAAACTTTTAATGATACACATTGGGAACCAGAGTTCATAGACTCTCCAAACGCTGGTCTGTACCTTGGAATTACACAGATCAGAGTGCCAGCTGCTTGGAGAGCACTGATACGTTATGTTGCTCACAGAAACGCTCTGCAGCAGGAGAGATGCACTGAGAAACCCTGTTACATCTTACTTTCCTTGAAAACCAGACAGCATTGCTGAGCAGCAACATTTATGCTCTGGTTCAATTTTGTTTGCTCTGCTCCATGCACTGTGTCTCTTAGGTGGTTGTTACATTTCCTGTTAATATTAGTAGGAGTTTTATAAAAGTTAATTCAGAGAAAGTTCATCAGGTGAAAAAGGTAAGAAAGGTGGCTGAACTGAAGCTGTTCCTCAGCCTCTGAAAAGACCCATCTTGCACACTGCAAAACTGTAATGGATGCACAAGCTACCAGGCGTACTAAAAGGTGCATTAGATGGTGTTCACAGAAGGTACTTTAGAGCCAACAAGGTGCTGTCCAGGCATCAACACGTGTGTAGTGTAGACAGCTTGCTTAAGTTTTCATAGTCTGGCTCAGTAGAAGACATTAGGTTGCTTCTGGTTTAGGCTATCTTTGCGGACTACAGAGATTAGAGCCTTATGTGCATGAGGCATGTAGGAAGCGTATGTTGCTTCTTGCTGTCTTCTGTTTCTGTTGTTAATAATATAGGCAAGGAGCAAAGCTGTATGCTAAGGTTTCCCTGTTGAATCCTGTGACTGAATTGGGATGCCCAGTATTTAAGTAGGTTATTTTTTTTTAACTGAAAGATATTCTGTCTGCTCCAAATACTTTGTAAACTAAAAATCCTAATAGTTTGCAAATAAAACTGGGCTCTCTCAAAGACTGTAATTTTAATCATATGTAGGCTTGATTCTGATCCCACTGAGGGACCAGACTGGCCACTCTATTCAGAGCAAGGCAGAATTGTCTTCTGTCCTTAAAAACACAGCCACGTTCACTGCAGCATTGGAAAGAGTCTCTTGTGGGCAAAATGATTCAGGTTACACTTGTTGAAGTTTATTGTGCTATTTGGCAAAACCTGTCTACTTCTGTTCATATCAGGTGTCAGAGTAGAAGACTTTATGCTGAGGAAAAACAAAATATATCGCACAGCAATAAAACAGAAAAATCAGAAAATAACGGGATCTTTTTTGTTTCCATTTTTCAGAATATTGCAATACTTTCATACTACTGCTGAAGATTATACCATCATTTTCACATCTGGATGCACAGCTGCACTTAAACTGGTAGCAGAAGCATTCCCGTGGATACCTGAAGGCACAAAGCAACCCAGCAGTCGATTTTGTTACCTAACTGACAGCCACACATCTGTGGTGGGTATGAGGGGGATAACTGCCTCAATGAATGTCTTGTCTGTTCCGATAAAGCAAAAGGAAATCTTGTTATCAGAAAAAAACAGGTTACCAGCTGAAGAACAAAACTGCATGACACCTCATCTTTTCTCTTATCCAGCTCAGAGCAATTTTTCTGGTACCAAATATCCCCTTTCATGGATACAGGACATAAAATCTGGAAAACTCCGCCCCATCAAAATACCAGGGAAGTGGTTTGTTCTACTAGATGCAGCTTCGTATGTGAGCAGTTCTCCATTAGACTTGGGAGTTCACCAGGCTGATTTTATTCCCATCTCATTCTATAAAATCTTTGGATTCCCGACTGGTTTAGGAGCTTTATTGGTAACCAACCGGATTGCCCCCCTCTTGAGGAAAACCTATTTCGGAGGTGGAACTGCAGCTGCCTACCTTGCAGGAGAGGATTTTTATTTCCCAAGGAAATCTATAGCAGAAAGGTAAGGTTTTGTTTAATAAAACAGGGTTTTTTGCTGATACTGTTTGCGTCAGACAAATGTCTTGGGGTTGGTGCATGCACTGGGCTGTGACACCTGTGCTTCTTTATGCATTTTGATAGGTATTTCACATCTAACTCTGTTTTCTTCTTAACATTCTTTTTTCCTATCTGAAATATCTACCTTCCCTCCCTGATCTGTTTTGTCCCAACTGGTAAAAATATAAGGCTTCAGTGACATAAAGGTCAGTCCATGCATTTTTTAATTTATATTTAAGGTACTTCAGTGGAACCCTGATTTGTTTTTGAAGCTCTGCACCTGGAGCAGCCAGGCCAAGGTTGATCACACAGTATAATGACCCTCAGTGAAATTGGAAAGTAAGGTCCATGTATTTCACTGGAAAGGTGGCATGCTTTACTCTCAAGAGAAGCTTTATGAGAATAAAACATGCAGTAAGATAAATTACCTAGGACAAATATTTGTAGCGCTCTTATTCCCTGACTGAAGTTCCAGAGAAGCTGTGAAGCTCTCCTACAGAAAACAGAGGACACCTGTAGGAGGTCAAACATACACACATAAGGAAATGCAGGGCAGTGGATAAGCTTCCCCAGTCCCTTAACACATTGAAACACCACTCAGCGATGCTTGGTCTCTCTGCCTCTCTCCCTCATGCCAGCAACAGTACATAAATGTATTTCACTGGAAAGGTGGCATGCTTTACTCTCAAGAGAAGCTTTATGAGAATAAAACATGCAGTAAGATAAATTACCTAGGACAAATATTTGTAGCGCTCTTATTCCCTGACTGAAGTTCCAGAGAAGCTGTGAAGCTCTCCTACAGAAAACAGAGGACACCTGTAGGAGGTCAAACATACACACATAAGGAAATGCAGGGCAGTGGATAAGCTTCCCCAGTCCCTTAACACATTGAAACACCACTCTTAGCGATGCTTGGTCTCTCTGCCTCTCTCCCTCATGCCAGCAACAGCTTACATAAAAATGCAATAGTCTTCCATCCTGTCTCACATCCAATACATCTGCACAAAGGAAATGTTTGAGATCAGCATTTAATATTAAATTATCATCCTTGGGAGAGGCTAGAGGTGAAAAGGGGAAATGATAAAAAAAGCCATTCATGCCTTGCATTTGTTTATGGATGTGTATTCAGCAGCACAATGTCCTGCATCTCCCAAGATGTAAATGCCTGACCTTTCACCGTACATGTAGTAATGCATAATGATGCTTCACTTCATGTGTGTGCACCTCTTCTAGGTGTGTGCTTTGAGTGCTGCTGTGGGGTTTTGGTTCTGGACTGGTAAATGCAGAGGCTGGCCGCATTACCCTGGCTCTCTTGCCGTATGAGGCTGTGCATTATTTCTGAAATGGAAATTGGTACGGTGAACCTCCAGTTAATTTTTTAATTTAGAAATAAAAACAACAGGGAAACATTGGAGTTCTGACCTCTGCTTCTGTTTTTTCAAACCAAAAAGGCTTTGAAGTGCAGCACTCACTAAAAATCAGGATGAAAGGGCATAAAAATCATGGGATCCTAGGGTGCTCCTGCGTCACCTGCAAGCCAAGGAGAAAACCTGCTTTAATTTAACCTGGGCAGGCTCTAATTCCTGAGTGGCTTTTGTAGAGGTAGTTGACACACGACTCCTGAGATTGCATAGCGGATAAAAATATCTGAAATGTGTTTTAGATCTCAATTCTGCTTTTATACTTTTTTTAATTAAGAGGGGAAAGATATGTGGGAACCTTGAGGGGAGGTCTATCTCTGGTATCTTTTTCAGGAGTTTTCAGAGGTTGACTATAAGCCTTTCAGGTATTTGAGGCTGTCACTGCTTTCAAGGGCTTTTTTTACGGGATCAGAAGAAGGGCCTGCTTTAACCTTTTTCTACTACAGAGTTATAAACAAAGGAATTTGTCCAATTTGATTTCTCAGTCAGGCTGGGTACAGAGTGTCTAATCTTGGTGTGAGGAAACCTAACTCAAATAATCAAATCTGACAGCTGGATACCCAGGCATGTGATACTATTTCCCGTTTCACACCAAAGTGTCATGCAGACAGTCTGAGTCATTGTACATAGGTAAATAACTACATTTGTCCTCATCTAATCCTTTAGTTATTATTTGAAAACCTAATATTTAAAAGTTCACATTTAGAGCATTATTGATGCTGTCCGTAATCCCTAGTGAACTGTGCAGACTTAAAGTCCTACCTGGAGAGGCTTGAAGTTTTCAAAGATAGGTCAGGAATAAGGATAACCACTTTCTTGAAAAAATAAAAACAGCAGCATTGAAATTCTCAGTCAATGTCCTCCAAGCTATTTCATCCAAATTATTTTTTTTTCCTTTCAGATGTTATCATTATTGATGCTGTCCGTAATCCCTAGTGAACTGTGCAGACTTAAAGTCCTACCTGGAGAGGCTTGAAGTTTTCAAAGATAGGTCAGGAATAAGGATAACCACTTTCTTGAAAAAATAAAAACAGCAGCATTGAAATTCTCAGTCAATGTCCTCCAAGCTATTTCATCCAAATTATTTTTTTTTCCTTTCAGATGTTATGGGTTTTTGCTTTGTTATGTTTTTAAAGTGTTTTCCTGACAATAAAATACAGAGAGCAGTTAGGAACAGAACTACTACACTTCAAATGAAATGTCAGGCCACCGTGGCCAAAGCTGATATGATTACCTTATCTGTGGTCCATGTTTCCATTTCTTTGCTAGTGACTGAAACACCTGGGTGATTATTTCTCATATGAACAGCAACTCTAGCCAGGTTTTATCCCTGCCAAATTGCAGTAAGGAGCCTCCATCCTTGGAGGTATCCAAACCCAACTGGAGAAGGCCCTGAGCAACCTGCTCCAGCTGGATATGCTTTGGGCAGGAGGTTGGACTGGAGATCCCCAGGGGTCCTTTCCAGCCTCTGTGCTTCTGTGACTGCTTCTGCGCACCTCTACCGAGCTCCATCTGCATTCTTTCTTTAGGCATGTCTTTGTGATTTAAAAAGGTTGATTTCTTAAAATTGTTTTTTTAAAAAAAGCTTGTTTACAGTGCTGGATTAACATTGGGATTGAATACACTGAAACATGTCATTTCATGTGGTAATTCATAAGGAAACTTTAACTCTAACAAATGCCATTGGAAAAGTGGATTAGAATATGTGTATCTGAATACCGTTAGCAGAAGGTATTCCCTGTCCACGCATAATCAAAGTGCAGTGTACGAAGGAAATGGCTTTTTCTGTCAAGGTGAAACTTGAGTGGAGATGTGTAATGAGAGGGTGTTTATTCATCTTTCCTTCCCAGGACTGTCAAAATGGTTACCTTTTGTCTTAATGGATACAGCTTTTGCTAGTGTTTCTTGTACTTTATTTTGTTGTTCTTGCTATATAAATTATTCTATCACAGACTCTTTTACGTTCCTTTAATACCCTTAAATCACTTCCACATTTTCACATTTCATGGCGGTAGCCAGTCTTCCTATCTCAACTTTTAAAATCATGTTTATTGTATTTTCATCCTTGTATCAAACAGCTTGACAAATTATTATTATCATTCACAAATCTAGCCTCATTTCCCATTTTTTTTCTGCACAGCATGAGATAATAAAATAATATGATTATGTATAGCAAGAATTCAGCGATAAAATATTCATCTGCCCTATTTTTCTTTTGTATCTGGGAGTGCTATTCAGAATCTGATCATCCTGGAATTTATGACTAAGGGAAAAGAAGCTGTTGTGTTATCTGTAAATTGGATATCTGCATCTTAGTCTACCAGTGTGAAATATCTAGTGCATTAGCTGTTGTGTGTTTTTCATTTCCAAATGCATTTTCAAAAGCTTTGGAAATCCAGATGGCATGACTTTGTCCCTGACGAGTTTTAGTGGCTCTTGCCTCTGCTGCTTGAATGATTTGACAGCCCCAAAGCAGCACACACACTTTTGTAGTCTATGATGCATTGTACTTAACCAAAGCAGGTTTCTTTATTCTTGATACTGTAGCTTTTTTTTTTGGAGGTGATTCGGTGGCTGATATATATGACCTGCAGATAAAAGGTTAGATCCCTTAAGTTCTGCAGGAAATGTCTTTACTTAGGGCCCATCCAAGTACTACTGTGGAGAACTATGCTAAAGATCACCGGGATAACTCTGCGCATGCCTATGCAGGTATGTGTATAGTGACATGGTTTGGATCCTCAGTTGCATGCCGAGTTTGTGCAGGCAGAGGGGAAGGGAAGGAAGGAGCAGAAAATGGCGGCAGAAAGGTAGGGATGAGCGCTATCGCTAGGATCCCAAGAGCTGGAGCTGGAGACAAAATCCTGAGGCTGGGTGGTGGATATGGAGCAGCTCGAGAATCCCTTGGCAAAAAGCTGGTCTTCTGCTTGAAGGTGTCTCTGTAGCATTATTGCATGTTTCTGTCAGCACAGAAAGAAATAATATAGTGACAGGTGCTGGTTTATTCCATAGAAACTCTTCATAGTGCTGAGAAATCACCTAAGGACTGGACCATGCGTAGAGGAGCACCATACTGGCATGTGCTAGACTACCAGGTTAGCATGTGCATTAGCACATATGGTAGTCTAGCATATGCCAGTTGACTCCACGCTCAAGGGCTCTGTCCGTCTGCCCATCATTATTTCAGTGTGATAAGCGGGCTTAAATATCACCCTGTTGACTAGTAGTTTTTGTTCAAAGCATTTTGTTATGCTCCTTCCACGTTTTTGTGATGTTTAGAGATCTCCAAACAGGACCACTTAAGGGTGAATTTCCAAATCCAACAAATATCCTTTCAAACAGCAGTGATGACTTTCAGATGAGATACTTGGGAAGTGACAGGGGTCTTAATCTAATTTCCAATGGGCATTTGCACCATGAGGCTGCCTTCTGCACCTGACAGACCTATTGCAGCCACTGACAGGGACTCATAAGCCTGAACAGGCAACAAGAGGGTGAGCAAGTCTCTTCCTTCATCTCACCCCCCAGTGCCACCCCGTCCTGC